TTTGCCTGTGACAGTAATTGTTGAATGATCTCCCTCTGCCCTTATCTCGATGCAGGAGCCTTTCATTATATTTTCTCTCCCCTAGCTCCTCTCCTCCTTCCCTCCTCAGGAGGAGAGGAGCTCCTCCTGAGGAGGGGAGTGACAGAGAGGCTTTGGTGGGCACCTGGCATCCAGCTAGGGTCAACCCACCACAGAAGCATTCCCAAGGCTACATCTGTTGGAAGAGACACACTATAGAACTGCTTTTAGCTGCAGCCTTACCCTCGGCAAAGAACCGGTTATTCTTAGTCCGGGAAGTCTTTATTTCATAACAACTTTGATCTAAATTAGTGATAGTATATATAATTTTAAATCACGTATGTAGATTTAGAAGTGCTACAAACAAACTCTTACAGAGTATCATAAAAAACAGTAATGGGAACATAACTTCTAAATTTAAACTATGTTTAACTACTTGATTCATTTTTTTAAGACTGTGAGAAAAGCAGACATTTTAAGTGTATTTTTCATGACCACAGGAAACTAAGATTCTGAATGAACACACAGAAAACATAAACATAAAGAAGAATGGGGGAAAAAAATGAAAGCAAATAAAATTATGCAATGTATAATAAAGCAATGTATAAAAGTAGCTGTAAGAAAAGGTTTTTAAAACTGACTCTGTGCACACAGAAAAGACAGTGTGGGTAAAGGCTAAGTCTAGTGCAAGACCTCACTGTGTTTAAGATCTCATGTCAGTCTCAAAACAGGAAGAGGAGAGAAGGCAGGGGAGAGAGGTGAAAGAAAAAGGAATGATGCTCCTCTTTGGAGTATGTAGTACAACTGTGCACTCTATACAGGTGTATATTGTTGTTTATAACTTGACCACCTCTGTGAAAGTCCAACCCACTTCTTAAGGTTAATTTTAAAAATGAAAAGCACTTGCATGTACGTGTAACAATCCATAACTCTTTCTTTCCTTCATTCACTTACTTAAAAGAGTCTAAATCCACCACTATTCTCAGGGAAATTCTTATTTTTCCATCCCCTGTAAGTGGGGAAGAAATCTTACTTGGCATAAGAATCTGTCATAGGAGATGAAAAAAGGCATTTGCTGTATTCTTTCTAGGACTGACTTCACATTTCAGGGCTGCCCTCACACCACTTCTCTTGATACCTTTGTTTTCATTCTGTTAAGAGGAAGCACTGAACTTGGCTGAGGAAGACATTACCTGTTAGATACTTAGAGGTTTAGCTAAATTTACTAACAAAATTTTGTATCCTCACTCTGCCTTGCAAGTACACATCTGGAACAGAAGCATAACCATAACCATTAAGCTTATGGTTAAGCTTAATCCCTCAACAGCAGTGACACATCCCAAAGCAAAGGCTAAAACTGTTGAGCGTCCTTACTGAAAGGACACACTAGTAATTACTGATAGGAAAGCATACGCTCTTAACATGATGCCTTCGCTGTATATAAATGTTGAATTAGCTTGTTAGTCATTTTCACCTTATTGATGCACAGAAATGTTGAACGGATTTGACAACTTGGTTCAATTACCAGCCTGTAAGGTAGAACTTTGCACTGCCTACCATATCTACGTACATCCAGCAGCTACCCTCAAAATGGAAACAGTACTTAGACGAGATTAATATATCACTGAAAACAGTTGTCAGAGTGTATTTGGTCTGGCTGAGATGGAGTTAATTTTCCCCACAGCAGCCCTCATGGTGCTGTGCTTTGTATTGGTACCTAGAACAGTGTTGATAACACACCAGTGCTTTGGCTACTGCTGAGCAGTGCTTGCACAGCATCAAGGCTGTCTCTCCAACATTCCCCCCTCACCAGTTGACTGGGACTGGACAAGATCTTGGGAGGGGACACAGCCAGGACAGCTGACCCAAACTGGCCAAAGGCATATTCCATACCATATGAAGGTAGCTCAGCAATAAAAGCTAAGGGGGGGGGGGGCATTCATTAGTTACAACATTTGTCTTCTGGAGCAACGGCTACGCATACTGAAGTCCTGCTTCCCAGAAAGTGGCTGGACATCGCCTGATGATGGGAAGTAGAGAGTAAATCTTTTGTTTTCCTTTTCTTCTGCACGTGACCTTTGCTTTTGCGTTATTAAACTGCCTTTATCTTGACCCACATGTTTTTTCCATCTTATTTTCTCCCCCTCCATCCTGCTGAGAAGGGGAGTGATAGAGCAACTTGGTGGCACCTGGCATCCAGCCAAGGTCAACCCACCACACTAAGGTTTAATTAAAAGAAACACTGGCCTGCTTACAGGCAGAGAAAAAAAAAAATTTTGAAGAATGCCTACTGATAGCCACCCCTGTTTTCTCCTCTTCCCTCAAACCGATCACAGTTCAGTCAGAAACAGTTTTGATGAATGCAACATTCTCTGCATCCATGAGTAAAGCAATCATGTCTATGGTTAGGAAGGCAGCCCCTATCCCACGTGCAATATTCTGTAGAGGACAATTAAATTAGAATGGACTACAGTAAGTGTTGTGCATCCTGATACAATGCCTAGAAAAACCTCCAGGTAGTCCAGAACACCACAGCATTGCTCCTGCAACAGAGGCAACTCTGAAGCTATTAATCCCACTCAGCTGTCTGAAATGGTTTCCTCACAGAATATCACATCAAGATTCAGTCTCAGTCCTTATCCTCAGACTCCTCCCTATCCTGAACTGAAGCAGGATATCTAAAAAGCCACCTAAACAGCAGCATAAGAAGGCAAATTCTTGTCCACAGTTAAACCATATAAAGCAAGCTCACATGCATGGGAGAAAACTTTATTTCAACTAAGCCATAACCATGAACTGAACTCTTCCAGAAACCAAAGCCTATCTGCCCAAACAAGATTCTCTCACATGTACAGTTTTGGTCCTTGAGTAGAGGATGAACATGATACAAACCACTCAATGGCAGTTCATGCACTACTGCAAGTCACTAAGATACCATACTCATAGAATCATAGAATAGTTTGGGTTGGGAGGGCCCTTTAAAGGTCATCTAGCCCACCCCCCCTGCCACAGGCAGGGACATCTGCAACTAGATCAGGTTGCTCAGAGCCCCCTCCAACCTAACCTTGAATGTTTCCAGGGATGGGGCATCTACCACCTCTCTGGGCAACCTGGGCCAGTGTTTCACCACCCTCATTGTGAAAAATTTCTTCCTTATATCTAGTCTAAATCTATCCTCTTTCAGTTTAAAACCATTAGCCCTCATCCTATGGCAACAGCCCTGCTAAAAAGTCTGTCCCCATCTTTCCTATAAGCCCCCTTTAAGTACTGGAAGGCTACAACAAGGTCTCCCCAGAGCCTTCTCTTCTCCAGGCTGAACAACCCCAACTCTCTCAGCCTGTCCTCATAGGAGAGGTGTTCCATCCCTCTGATTGTTTTTGTGGCTAATGCCTTCAGATAAAGAATCTATTTAAAATTATATACTGAGAAAAACCCAAACCAAACTGTAATATTTAGACTATGACATCATCTCAATGCCTCATGAAATCCCACAGAGCATCCCCCAGTTGGTATAATCTGCCAGAGTTCCCTTGACTCCTGCGAAATATCTGCCCCTACACTTAAAATTCCCAAAGTTTTTCCAGCATTTTTTCTAGTTATTCTTTAACCATACCTTGTGGACTGAAAAACAAGATTTGGAGTTACAACATACTTGCATGTGGGGAAAAAATAACATCTCCATTGCTTTAGAAACATGATGCTTTTTAAGACTTGGTCAGACATCAAAAAGGCATTCACTGTGAAAAGCATCCACTCTGCTGCAGAAGTATGCAACTTCAAAGTATCCCTTTGACTACATTTCTATAGCCAGTTCTCAAATAAAACATGCAGTGAACTTTGATTTTAAACAAACTCCCCTGCCACTACACAAATAAATGAATTCCTGCCGAAATGCATGGATTTTTACTATAGCAGAATCAAAAACTATTAATATTTCTTACCAAGGCCAATAATGGCTTTTGTCTGTACTTCTTCATCTGAATGCTTTGTAAAATACATCAGCAGTTCAAGTACTTTATCCTTAATATTAACCTGAGGAAATTAAAATAAAAATAACAGCTATTTGAAAATGAAACAGATGTTTTCAATCTCTTATAAAAAGCATAAATATCAAAAAGGAGAAACACAATCTTACTGCATGGCCTTTGCAAACCCATGTATTTACAAACCAAAAAGCTGTATTGTATGCATTATGAAAAAATACATAGCTTTGAGGGACTAGGGAATACTGTGCTTTCAAATTGAAGTGGAGCATTCAATATACATAAGACGTGGAGAGTAAATACAAGTTATTTTACCTTACTGTTGCCCTTAAAATCTTCCTGATCAAAATCAAAATGCCGACACAATGCTCCAACAGTGAAAAGTGATCTAAGGAGTGCTGGTTTATTGGCAGTAAGTATTGTACTGTTGGGGTCTTCTTGGTGTTGACTTTTTAATTTCAAAAGTGCACCTACAGTAAGATAAAAGTTTTGATCACAGTATTTAATCATGGTGTATCCCTAAGACAAGACTTGTAGCCAAAACTGAAGAGTGACAATTATATGTTGTGATTTTACTTACCATAGTATCTATTAAAACAGGCCCACACAAATTTATAGTTCTGAGTGACCTTGTTCACAACAGCCCCAAGACAGCTCACACAATGCTGAACAACCTAGGATCAAGAAAGAACAAATGAGTTATATTTAGAAGTTAAAACTAAGATTTTTGTGAAGTTATGTAGGAAAAAGCTATGTAGAACTAAAACTGATGATCTAACAGATGCAATGTCTATTTCATAGGCTGCTCTGAAAACCTGCCCAAACTTATAATTGTTAAAATATAGCAACAACACATACAAACACTAGTAAACCAAGAACATTGATTTTTCATGGCTCAAAAGTTATCTTCATAATGAAGACAGACTTTATTTAAATCAAAACCATGTATTTCACAATGTGAAACATAATCAACTTAATAGTAGCAATTAAAAGCTTACCGTCATGCCATATTTGATGATGAGTTTCATGAGGTCTTCCTCAATAGTGGCAAGAAAGGTCTCACTTGGGTGCTCCATTAGTGGCACTACAAGTTCTAGGATTTTTGCAACATTGCAGATCACCATGAAATCATTCTGGGTCTGAAACAACAGTATTTATAGCATTTAACATTTCTGGCTGTGTTACCTATAAGATAAGTATTATTAATATGCATTATGTAATATCAATACATATGTATTAATATTACATAATACATATTAACACAATACAATTACATACTAGTATAATACAATTATGTATCTTATGTAAGATATTTGGTAAAGATTTAAAAGAATATTCATATAGTTTACATCTGCTTTTAAATTACATGTTATTTTGAAAGCAAGTTCTTGTTTTCTACAGAACTTCTGGGGGGAAAAAAAAATCTGTAGAAGCAGAACTTCACTTCTCATCAAGGCTGTGACAGACCCGAAAACTTTTGGTCATGATAATTTTTTTGGAGTCCTACAACAAATGTAGGAACTCTTCCTGACACATGCACACTAGAGAACACACAACACCTGGCAACATGTATCAGCAACAAATGAAGTTGTACTATGGCTGAATGTGGCTTAAACAAAATAGATAATAATGTGCACAAATATAGAAATTACAAGTAAAATGATTACTGGTTTGCATTATCATGACTGCATATGTATTCTAAGTGAGTAATCTATGGAAAACATTTATATATTAAATATACATCCTGTTAGAAATTTACTTTTTTGACAAATCAAGCTCACTAATCATGATAGGTTAATTCCCAAATGCTACTATCAAGCCATTTAACATGTTCGAGCTGACTGGTAATTCTACAATTCATCTCAACCTGTATAAGTACAAAACTTATGTAACACACTAAAGAGATGTTGCAAGTAAATAATCAGATAACCTTTTCCTGTACCGTTTGATCAGAAGCAGCTCTAAGTCTGTTGTAGATGTGCCTAAAGAATGCTCCAGGGCTGAACCTGTAAAATGCTAGGCTATACCTATGAGCTAAGCCAATAACAAGTATTCTCAAGCCCGCCCTTTCCTGGACAGCTGACCTAATGTAATGGATTGCTGCCACCCACCCAAGCCAAGCTCTTTCTTGGGCCATGGCTACATGATCCTGCCCTGCTCCTGCTGGGTCAGGTGTTCATCACAACCTTCACTGAGCCAACTGTGCTAAACAAAATGGCAGAAAGCAACACAACTTGGGGGGGGGCGGCGGCAGCACATTTTACCAGAGTGTGGGGGTTCAGCATTATAGTGCTCTACCATTTTTGTGAGCTAAACTGTCTTACAGGGGAATACAAAAACACCAGAGCTAGGGAAGGGAGAGGTGAAATGCTGAAGAAGATAGAGCAGGACATTTTCCTTCTGATATATTTGCTATATGTTAGATCACTCTATCTTATGGAACCATACCTTCAGTCTTAAGAGTCATATGTTAAATCTTAACTACTTTTAAGACTGTGACTATAAAACAAAACTATTTAAAGAAATTATTTCATATCAGGTAAAAAAATGGGTTTTAGTCCTCAAGG